CGGGGGCGAGAAAGAGAGAAGTACAGACTAGTACTACTGCTATCTATGCTACTATCTATCTATCTATGCTACTATCTATGCTACTATCTATGTATGTATGCTAGTACTATTACTACTGCTAGTAGGTATAAGTTAGTTAGTTAGTTAGTTAGTTAGTGGTATAAATAAAAGGAAATTAAATAATTTCGGGAAGAAAGAAAAGGCACCAGGTTGATTCTGCCTGACATAGACACTGGTCTTTCAGACTAAGCCATGCATGACGAGCACACGGAAGGAAGCGTCAGAGAGCTCAGGGACGCAGTTTTGACCGGCTTGGAGAACAGGGGCGGACATCCGAGGAAACCTTCGGCCAAGACGACGCAGGGCGGGGGGCATCCACGGAGAAGCAGGACGCCAGAGCAGCGCAGGGCGCAGCCAAACGGGAGACTGTCCTATTAGCTTGTGGGTGGGGTCAGGGCCTACCCAGGCGACGATGGGTACGAGGGATGAGGGTTTTGTCTCGGAGAACGGGTGTGAGAAGCAGCCCGTAGATCCAAGGATCGCAGCAGGCGCGGAACTTGCTCACTTCCCAGGGGGAGAAGCAGTGAGGAGACATACGGAGAAAGAGCCCGCGACAAAAGAGCGGGCGAGAAGCAATTGGAGGGCAAGACTGGTGCCAGCAGCCGCGGTAATACCAGCTTCAAAAGTGTCTGTGGTGTGTGTTGTATTTAAAAGGTCCGCAGTCGGGGGAGATGGCCGTGGGGAAAGCAGGCTGTTCAAGGGGAGCGCGATGCACGGAAGGAGCGAAGTCAAGAGGGGCGGAGCGAGGGCGGGAAGATTTGGCAGCCAGAGGTGAAATTCAAAGACTTGCCGAGGATGGACAGAGGCGAAGGCGCCTGCCAGGGACGCTTTCATTGATCAGGGACGAAGGCCGGAGAAGCGAAGATGATTAGAGACCGTTGTAGTTCCGGCGGTAAACGATGCCAACACGGGGGCGTGCGCGCGGGGGCGAGCAGGTGGCCGGAGAGAAATCGAGTGCGAGGGCTATAGGGGAAGTATTGCCGCAAGGTTGGAACTTAAACGAAATTGACGGATTAACACACAAGGAGTGGGGCGTGCGGCTTAATTAGACTCAACACTAGGCAGCTTACCAGCGGGGGAGCCCGGCGGGATCGGCGCGAGATTCGGGCGAGAGTGGTGCATGGCCGCTGTTAATTCGTGGACTGATTTGTCTGGTTGAATCCGATAACGGATGCGATCCGCGTGTGCTTTGTGATAAAAACAGCAGAGGACAGACGGCCGGCGGGCAGCCGGAGGAGGGCGGGCGATAGCAGGTCTGTGATGCCCTTGGAAGCGCTGGGCTGCACGCGCGTCACAGTGCGCGCAGGAAGGAGTGCCGAGAGGCGCAGGAGGAGCGGCGCGCAGGGGATGCCCGTGCGGAACCGCGGGCTGAACACGGAATTTCCAGTACCCGCGGGTCACCAGCCCGCGGAGACAGGGTCCCTGTTTTTTGTACACACCGCCCGTCGCTATCTGAGATGGGTGCGCGCGGCAAGCGCGGGGGCGCGTGAGCTGCTGTGCCTAGATTGGATAAAAGTCGTAACAAGGTTTCCGTAGGAGAACCTGCGGAAGGATCAATACCTGCTGCGAGGCTGTGCAAACTAGATAGATATAACCCGAAATACATACATACACACATACATACATACATACATACCCTACATACAAACAAACAAACTATGTAGGCAGGTAGGTAGGTAGGTTTGAATTTTGGTTTCAATGAATTTCAATGAATTTCACTTTCAGTGAAATAACTAAAAGAAAGAAAGAAAGAAAGAAAAAAGGAATTTTCGGGAAGGGCGCCGCGAGGGGACCCCTCGGCTATCCGCGCGAGGAAGGACGCAGCGAAGGCGAAAGAGCGCGCAGGAACGGGCGCGGCTGTGGCGGAAGGGACGACGCGCGTGAGGAGACCCGCAGAACTTAAGCATATCAGTACGCGGAGGAGGAGAAACGAACACGGATTTCCGGAGTAGCGGCGAGCGAAAGGGAAAGAGCCCGCGGCGAACCTGCGGGGGTGTGCGGCGGAGCGCGCAGCGGAACAGGCGGTGAGGGCCGCGCAGAGAGGGTGCAACGCCCGTACGCCGCGCGCGCGGGGGGAAGAGTAGGCGTGCGTGGGAGGGCACGGCGAACGGTGGAGCGGGCCATCGAAGGCAGAATACACGGGTAGGCCGATAGAGAAGAAGTACCGCGAGGGAAAGGAGAAAAGACGCGCGGGAGCGGAGTGAAAAGGCGCGAAACACGCGGCGCGAAGCGCGCGGGGCGCGGGCACCCGGGCGGCCCGTCTTGAAACACGGACCAAGGAGCGCTGCGTGCGCGCGAGCGGAACGTCGGGAGGACGGAGCGCGGCGGGCGCGGAGTGCCGGGGAGGCATGAAACATTCAGTGCGCGCGCAGCGGCCCGAAACGCGGTGAACTACGCCTGCCGCGAGCGACGGCGGGGGAAGCCCCGGCAGAAGCTCCGAGGGGGCCTGACGTGCAAATCGGTCCCGGGAGGTGGGCGTAGCGGCGAAAGACCAATCGAACCGCGTGGTAGCTGGTTCCCCACGAAATGTCCCGCAGGACAGCCGGCCCGCGGGCGTGGCGCGCGGTAGAGCGGACGAGGGCGGCCTCGAACTGCGAACGCGCGCGCAGCAGCGGGCCGAGTGGGCGCGCGCTGGTAAGCAGCACGCGCGAGGCGGGGTGAACCGCGCGCACGGATAAGGGGCCGCGGAGGACGAGGAGAGCGGGGAAAGCCGGGCGCGGGTCAGGACAGCAGGCCGGTGGCCATGGAGGTCGGCAGCCGCCAAGAAGTGTGTCGCAACTTTCCTGCCGAACCCGTGCGCGCTGAAAAAGGAGGGCGCTGGAAGTCCCCCCGACGCCGTGCCACACTTCGGCTTACTTTTTTTCTATGTGTGCGTAGTGGGGCGGCGCGGGCGCAGAGAAGCCGCGCGGCGACGCGCCGTGGAGCGCCCGCGCGCGCAGATCTTGGAGGGAGTAGCGGGCTTGGCGCCAAGGGCCGACGAGGAGAAGGGTTTCCGCGAGGAGAGAGCCGGGCCTAAGGCGCGCAGCGTGCGCGGCGAAGGGGAAGAGAGAGCGCCGCGCGCACTACGGCAGCGGCGCGGGCGCCTTGACGCGCGCGGCGCACGGGGCGCGGAGAGGCATCTGTGCTGAAAAAAGCGCTTGGACGCGTGGAGCAGCGAAGAGGCAAAGGCGTGCGGCCGCGCGCGCGTGAAAAGAGGCGCCTGAAAAAAAGCGCGCGCCCGTACCGAAACCGCAGCAGGTCTCCGAGGCGCGCAGCCTCTGGCGCGGGGAAGCGCGGGTAAGGGAACTCGGCAAAATAGACGCGTAACTTCGGGAGAAGCGTTGGCTCTGGCGGCGCTAGAACCGGAACGCCGGGGGAGTCTGACTGTCTAATTAAAACATAGCCTCCCGGAGCCTCGGGGTGCGGAGGGGAGGTGAGTTCTGCCCAGTGCCCAGAGAGTCACCGCGGGGCGAGCCGCCGAAGCGCGGGTAAACGGCGGGAGTAACTATGACTCTCTTAAGGTAGCCAAACGCCTCGTCATCTAATTAGTGACGCGCATGAATGGACGAACGAGATTCCCGCTGTCCCTACCTGCCGCCGGCGAAACCACAGCCAGGGGAACGGGCCTGGGCGCGCAGCGGGGAAAGAAGACCCTGTTGAGCTTGACTCTAGCCGGCGCGGGCCGCGCGCGCCGCGCATGTAGCCAGGCGGGAGACTTTTGTCGCGCGTGAAAGACCGCTGGCGCGGCGCAGCGCGGCCTACTGTTTTTATTTGCGCACACGTGCCGGTGGGGAGTTTGGCTGGGGCGGCACGGCTGCAAGAGCACATCGCAGCTGTCCAGAGGCGGGCTCACCGGGGCGGGAAACCCCGGGCGGAGCACAAGGGTAAACGCCCGCCGGAGCCGTCGCGCACGAGCGGCGGCGCGGGGAAACCCGGGCCTAGCGATCCCGCAGCCCCACGTGCGCTGTGCTGCGGGTGCCGGAAAAGTTACCACAGGGATAACTGGCTTGTGGCGGCCAAGCGTCCACAGCGACGCCGCTTTTTGATCCTTCGATGTCGGCTCTTCCTAGCGCTGCGCTGCACAAGGCGCAAAGCGTGGGATTGTTCACCCACCAACAGGGAACGTGAGCTGGGTTTAGACCGTCGTGAGACAGGTTAGTTTTACCCTACTGCGACGTCCCGCGAGCACGCGCGCGCAGTACGAAAGGAATCGCGCGCGCGCCCCTCTGGTCTCCCCTGTGCCGCCCGGCGCGGGGGCCTGCTACGGGCGCGGCATAACGGCTGGACGCCTCTAAGCCGGAAGGCCGGCTCTGCGGACCGCCGGGGCGCGCACACCACGCGCAAGCCCGCCAGCTGTGCGCGCGCAAGCGCTGCGAGCCGCTGAGGCCTGGCGCGGTACCACCCTACGACACTATTAATTAATTAATTAATTAATTACACTATATATACACACTGCACTGTTACTAACTAACTAACTAACAAATTAGTTACTACACTGCACAAACACACACACACGCGCTGGACCTCTGCGGGGTTATTCGGCCTCGGCCAACAAGCGCGCTTACTCTTTAACTTCTTTAATTAACTTCTTTATTTCAATCAATCAAAAACAATCAATCCAACTTCGGTTTTAATTTATTTTTCAACAACCC